GCAAGCATCACAAAGACAACTAGCATTCAATCTACACTACTTAACTAATTAACTGCTAGAGTTCAGACTCTGGTCTTGCATACAGTTTTCCAAGAGCCGCCTCTTGGTCTTTCATACAAACTGCCATGGGTTACCCCCGAGTCTTCCTACAATACATAAACCAAATGGGCCGGCTGGTGCCTTCGACCCATAGAACAGCGAGGAGACTCACCTCGAATGCAGAAGTTCACTAAAAGAAATCCCTAGCTGCTACCCGACGACTCCTTCGGGCTATCAATACCAAGATAACACCCCTAACCCTAGCAATTAGGTTGCAAACTATGATCCATAAACCATAATTAGGGTAAAATGACCATTTTACCCCTAACCCAACTTGAACCAAAACTGAGGCCCAAGTCCAAAACCATAAAGGCCCAAAACCAAAAGTTCCAAAAAGGCCCACTAATGACCGAATTTTCCAAATTGGGCCTTATCCTAAAGCCCAAAAATTCCCTTAGTCCAACAATTGATCTCAGATGGCCCAAAAGGCCCAAAACAACAAGGCCCAAATAGGTAGCCCAAAATCGAAATGACACCACAAGGACCAAAAAGGCCCAAATCAGCAAGACCCACATCCAAAGTTAAGTCCAAGCCCAACAACCAAAAACTCCACTGATCAGACGAACGCATGACATCTAAGGGCTGAACGCAAGACGTTCGTCGCCAGATAAATTGACGGGGACTCAAGACGGAATGTGTTGCGTTCCCAGGGGCTACGCACGACCTTCAAGGCTAAGTTCTAAATTCCCATTCTAAGGACTTAATCCATTAAGTCCAACGTCTAGAACCCCAGAATAGTCCCATAACAGTGACTTAACCCATAAAGTTGAAGGCTTTAAAACTTTGCATGGCTTAAAGAAGCCCAATACCAAAGATGCACCCCAAAGGTCAAAATCAGCCCAAAATGTCTTAAAAATTTCTTAATACCTTAAGACCTCAATCCAAACTTCCAGATCTGATTTCAAGGGACTTCTTAAGTCATAAAGTTTCCAAATTTATGACTTAACATAACTCAATGGGACCCAAATCAAAACCCTAAGTCCCAAACTTCATCAAATGACTACCAAATCATGCATGTAAGGTTTATACCCATCAAGATCCAAACTTTATGACTCCATAACCTCAACAAGTACCAAATATGATGCTCAAAGGTTCTGGAGTAACTTCTACTCATAAGAACCACCTCAAAGGGACCAAAACCATAACAAAATACCAATTAGCTAGATCTACATGAAAGAGTTGTTAATGTTGAGACTTTACACCTCCAGAAGATAGATCTAGGTGCACAAAGCCTGGATCCAAAATCTCCAAGTCAAGCAATGACTCTTCAAGAAGTTCCTTCTTCTTCCTCAAGCACCAAAAACACACATAAATCACTTTGAAGCTCAAGAATCACTCAAATGGAGGCTAGGGTTTCGTTTTTAGGGTTAGAGAGGATGGAGGCTGAAGGAAATGAGGGTTGGAGGTGAGTTAAGGTATTTAAATAGGGTCCAAGATCCTAATTTAGGGTTTTAATATGGCCCGACGAACGCAACACATTCCCTTGGGGAACGCAGGGCGTTCCCAAATGCACCCGCGTCCAAATTCCCGTGTACGCCATGCGTACCCGTTTTGGCCCAACACCCTTCTAACTTCAAATGGTCATAACTTTTGCATCCTTTATCCGTTTTCGACGTTCTTTATATCCACGAAAAGGTAATGAGAAGCCATACACTTCTATGAACTTTATTTAGTCTGAAAACCAACCAAAATTAAATATGAAATTCATAAAAGACCAAATTATCAAATTACGATTATACCCATGACCTTCGAAGACACGATCGAACACTTGCATCACTTAAACCATAACACCCACACCCGAGAATGGCCAAATTATTCCTTCCCCAAGGCCCTAAGCCTCATGACCACTGAAAATTGGGCCGCAGCCCCGAATAAAGAAGCAAATCCAAAATCGAGTGTTACAAAGATAATGGATGCATTGGCCGAACAGACGCAGAAAACGAAAGTTCTTTCTGAAAAGCTAAAGAATGCTTCAACGCATATTGCCAATCACGAAGAAGAAAGATATTTGATTAAAGGGGCAATTCCGAAATCAACCAATACTTTTTAAGAATCGTTGAAACTCGAGATTCTTCATTTACTGTCTCTGTCCGAAAAAATCTCTCAAAAAAATTGCAACCTGTTTTTGCAATGCTAAATAAAATGCTGGGTGTTTCGGGAAGCGGGGCTTCTGCGAAACAAGGGGGAGACGAGGAAGAAAAATTAAAGGATGAGACTGATCGGAAGGATAATGAAGCTTCCGGATCAGGAAAAGATAAAGGCAAAGGTGTTTCTGAAGAAGACAATGATGAAATGTCTGAAGCGGATAAAATCGCTAGAGAGAAAAGTGACAAAGAGCTTGACGATCTCAATGCTTTTCGGAAGAAACTTGATGCAGAAGAAGCTGAAGCCAAGAATGTGAAACTAATTCTTGAAACTCAGAAATCATTGTTTCCTGCCTGGTCTCTAAAGTGTATACAAAAAGAAGCCATTGATGATCCGAATCTCTACTGGCTGGAGCCAATAATGTCCTTCGACATTAATAATGAGGTGGAGTGTCAATTTGATTTTCCAATCACTCCAAGGGCATTTCTCTTCCGATGTTTTGAAAAGATTGAGAAATTCTCGATCTCTGATATTGCTGTAAATCAAAAGCTCTTTTCGTTTTACTTGAAAATTGCGAAACCACAATATGAGATATGGAGCTTAAAAAGAATTATGGCATTGAAGGTTGGACTTCCGATTCAAAGTGGAGACTTCTTGAATCTTCAGTTCAAATGATTCTGAGGTACCAATCACATTCTTCAAGAGTTCACCTTGGCTGATCTGCCATTTATGAACCCTTATGATTGGTTATCTCTGTTCTACATTGTTGCGAAAGACGAGAAGAAATATGAACCAATTTTTGAACACTTGAAGCGAATAATCAAGTGTTACATCCTATAAATTGCGAAAATGGATGTGGAGATCGCTTCTGTTCTGAAGAAGAAGCCAATTCTGAAGCCAGAAGAACAACCGGAAAACATTCAACATTTCAAGACAGTGATCATTCGGAAGAAGCACTGGAGCATTGTTTACAAAAGGAAAGAAGGTGAAGTGATTCAGAACTGCATGTTCTTAAGAGATAAACACTTGTATTCCACAATGGCTCTAAAAACAATCTTATCTTCGGCCGAAGCAAACAAAGCCAATTCTCATGCCGACATCAAATGCGTTTCCGATATGATTAGCTGGTACTTGTCTGTGAGAGGTTCACTTCTGAAGATTATGCCAAAGATTTTTGACGCTTGATGAAGACCTCCTTCCGATTTAACACAAAGGGGGAAATTGTTAAGTCCAAAATAGTGTTGTGTCAAATGTATAGTTTCAGATTTAATGTTTTATTCATATTCCGAAATGGGCCTGTCCAGCTTCAGAATTATTGTAATAGTTTGTCTATAAATAGTGTGCATGTAACTTCTAGGGTTACAACTTTTGAAGCAAGTACAAAATAGTTCCGCCTTGAGAACTGTTCTATTGCTGTGACTAATAAACATTCGGCACTCTTTCAATTGTCGTTCATTGTCATTGATTATTCTCTCAAATATAGAATCTATCGATCTTTATTGTTTCTAACAACCCCTTTAAATACTAAATCATAAACAAGCTTTTTCTTCTCCATGCTCAACAACATCCTACACCTCTCCTTCAGGGACGAAGCTTATGTAGGGTCAGGAGGGGTTGTGGCCACCCCCCTCCCCCTGTTTTTTTTTTTTTCATAACAAACCCTTAACTATGAAAATTTTTACATATTAAGCCTAAAACTATAAATTTTGACTTTGGCCCCCCTATTCTTCAATTTTTATACATATTTTATTTTCGCCCCCCCCCCCCCCCCCTCAAATCAACACTTCAAGCTCCGTCACTGCTCTCCTTAACATCCAACCTCGCTCCTATAAGTGATAACCTTAATTACTTTCCATGTCGTCTACTACTCTAGTTCAACCCTCAAGATGATAAGGCTCACAAACAGCTTCTTGACACGAGTTTTTAATCTAGTCTAGGGGTGCAATTGATGATAGTACACGACAAAAATACATGACACGAAACGAAATTTGGACGGAACTGAAATTCGAATTCGTGTTTGTGTCGTGTTCGTGTTAATTGTAAAAAAATGATGTTGTGTCATGTTTGTGTTCAAAACTTGACATGATATCGTATTTATTTGTCGTGTTATGTATAATTAAATATTAATTACATAAACTAATTGACATTTTATGTTATCTTTGTCGTATCGTGTGTCGTTTTTTAATTTGTTCGTTTTTGTGTTAGTTAAAAAAAACACGTCATCAAGTCGTGTCGTATTTGTGTTACATAAAACATTTTTATGTCGTGTCGTGTCCGACAAAAACATAACACGATTGCCCAATTTGTCACACCTAATCTGGTCATACCTTTCCTCGTACTTGATATGATTGTTAGTTGCACACAACATAAAGCATTGACTTTCAACCTCTGCCTTTAACGATGGATCTTGGTCTTGTATTAAGTCAAGACTTCACAGCCCTAGTTGCATCAACATGTATACAAATAATTCAATTGCTTTAACCCGAATGTCCCAACTAAACTCTGGCTGTGTGCCCTACAATCACTGCATGTTATAAGGGGAAGAGAAAGAGAACTAAACGCAAACACATGAGCAGAATATAAGAGATTGAGAAACACAACGTAAAGGCATGCACAACGGAAATTTTTTAGAGAGTCCATAGCAAGATCTATAAGTTCACATGATATAAATAAGAAGTACAACATAGAATATTAAATTGTAAAAATGAAAAGAATGCTCACAAAGAGCATAAAACGGTTTCCTATATATTACAAACATGAAATAAATGTAAAAAAACTTAATTTTAGAAAGAAAAAAAAATCAAACCTTCTAATCATCACATACTTGTTAATGGTATATCATCATCATCATACGAGAACAAAATCATTTCTTCTTCCATTCCACCATTGTACTTCAACTTCCCAACACCATTTCCAGATGGTAAATAACTCGCCCTAATTCTTTCCAATTCTAACGCCACTTCTTTCATCGTAGGCCTATTCTTCCCGTTCAAATTCAAACACCGCACCGCCAGCTCAGCCACCGCCATAACCTCAACCCGACCACCCTCCTCCACAATCCTCCGATCAAAAACCCCCATCCCCTCACCTTCTTCCATAGCCATCATAAAATGAGTCGCCAAACTTCTATGCTCACCAATTCGCGTCACCGAAATCGGCCTTTCCCCCGTCAAAAGTTCAACCAAAACAACCCCAAAACTATAAACATCGCTTTTTTCCGTAAATTGACTCGATTGAAAATATTCCGGATCCAAATACCCAAAAGTCCCCTTCACTAACGTCGTCAAATGTGTTTGATCAATTGATACGAATCTCGAAGTCCCAAAATCGGAAACTTTTGCTCGAAATTTGTCATCCATAAGTATATTAGTCGATTTAATGTCTCGATGGTATATAGGAATCGAAGTAGCGGAATGTAAATACGCGAGAGCTCCGGCGATCTCGGTTGCGATCCGTAACCGTGTGTTTAATGTCATCGGGAACTCGTCGGTTTCATTGTGAATTTGTTCATATAAAGTCCCGTTTGATACAAATTCGGATACAAGAAGAGGGACTTCGGTTTCTAAACAACATCCGAGAAGTTTGACCACATTCCGATGGTTGACTTGCGATAAGATAACCACCTCGTTGATGAACTGTTCTAATTGGCTTTCGTCTACTATTTTTGATCTTTTCACAGCTACAATCCTTCCATCAGTTAACATGCCTTTGTAGACAGTTCCCTGGCCTCCACGACCGAGGATTCGATTCTCGTGGAAGTGGTCGGTTGCTTTTTCTAACTCTTTCGCGGTGAAAAGTGTAGTTTTATCGACTAAGCCTTCATCGGTAGTTTCTTGTTGTTTTAGAAGTAGGCCTCCGTTTCGTTTGAAAAATCGTGCTTTTTGTCTTTTGTCTTTTGTTTTTTGGATCAGTTTGTATAAAGCAAAGGTGGTTGCTGTAAGAAGTAGTACCCCGATGCTTATGCTAACACCTACAGAAAACCAACACTTTTCTCTTTAAGTCGAATCTTTTTACAATAAGTAATATAATTCATCAAATTATATACAACAATTTAAAGGAGTAATTTATGGCTTGTGATTTTACCTAAAATAACTCCAGTTGTTGATGATTTTCCTCTAGCTTGAGTAGGAAGACATGTGAAATTCCCTGTCCCATTAATTTGCACGCATCCATTGATACACGTGGCGCATGGTCCAACAGCTAAAACAAACAAAAATAAACGTTGAATATCACATGGTCCAAAAACGAACAACTTTAGTTATAAACAACAATTTGAAAGTAGCTAAATGGAAATAAAGATTGATTAGTTAAATAGATTGCATACCTTGGCATCCATTAGTTAAATACGGGCTTCCTTCTTCAATTGGCCTACAAGTACATTTGTAAGATTCAATGTTGGTACCATTACCCAGATAAAGAGTCTCTCTTGCCATAGAAGAACAATCTCTTTCACCAATTTCTTCTAGTCTTAGAGTCCAACGAAGTGAAATTGGAACAAAGGAGTTGCCAACAAAAGCAGATTGTCTTGAAAACTTGCCAAAAGAGTACATTTGTTCATCCACCAGGAACGCAGACCCACAAACTCCACCCGAATCCTGACTTTGCAAGCTTGTAGTATCGATGGTGTATGTTTTAAGATAGTAAGGAATTGTGGTTTGGCAACAATTGATCCCATAACAATTGTTTCTTGGGTTAATAGTTTGGTTTTGGCATATCGTCGAACACCCTGTGACCAAGTTCCTTTGCTCCAAGATAACTGCATTTCCACACCCCTCGACAGTGAATTTGTTATCTTCTCGAGAAAAGAGGAAAGGGCTATCACCCAAGTCGACGCTCAAGATCTGACTGTTGTTCCGGATTGGGTCTACACAATTAGAATTCATTGAGACATTAACAGCCATCGTTTGATTCTCTAGATTCAAAGACAATAGTCTCAGGTTGTTTATCGCAGAAAGGTATGGTATTGATGAGTTGCAATCAACGGCATACCATTCATTGATATAACACCCTGTACCGATTCCAAATGGGTATGGAATCCGGACACCCCCACACATATCTTTGCATCCGGGTCTCGCGTAAATTGGCGCTGATGTTGCTGCTGATGCTAATGAAATTAATACAACCAAGAGTAATAGCAGCAACTTCATTGTTACAGACAAGTTCTGCCTGGGAATGTGGTGAGAAATTCGTATATATATTGGATGCCATCGTCAAGAATAGTTGGAACGAGTACTTGCGATGTGATGTTTTCAGTTACGTTTCAAACCCGAAATCGAAATATATATATATATATATATATATATATATATATATAATATATATATATATATAACTGATTAATCTTGTTGTTTGCTGATTTAGGCAATCATGTCCTCTTGTTGGAAGGAAGTTCGAAGAGGTATCCGGTGATTGGAGGTTGAGCAGTTCTTGAGAGACCAAATCATACAAGGCGTTTAAACTTTCAAAACAGAGCAAGAACACACCTCATTTGACTGCCTCGTGTACTGAAGTGGAAATATTTATTTACAGGAGTTCGAAATATCTTCAATCTAGTCAGGAATTTTTAATATGGACAGGGATCGTGATTTTTAAAATTTTGTTTCCATTTATTTTACAATTAATTATCAGATATTGGATGAAACAATTGCTTTTATTAAAGAGAGGTTCATCTAGGTGTTTTTGGAAAAGTTACAAAAAGTCAGTGACTTTTCCAAAAAGTTTATTTTCTTTGTATCAAAACTCCAAAAGTAGCTTTTAAAACTAGTTTTACCAAACATCTTTTGTCTTTTTTTCTTTTCCAAAAAGGACTTTTGGCTGTGAAAAGCTAAGTCAAACACCCCCCTAGAGTTGCATAAAGATCCCAGTCGGGCCGGGCCAGACTGCCAGCCCCAATCCGACTTGCATGGGTCAATGAGCAAAGCCTGATAAAGGGCCTATCGGACTAGACCTGTGGGCTTTTATGGGTGATATACGGGCCCGTCCCAGGGTGGCGATAGGGACGACCGTTCAGGTCCATCTTTTAAAATAGTCCGAGTTTTTTATGGAAATTGTTATATTTAGAAAATAGTACAAATAATTTTTTATTTAGTTATTGAGTTATTATAAAAAACTTGATGACATTTGTGTATTTTAAAGGCCCTTTTTTTTCTTTCGTCTTGGACCCAAAATATGTTTTGATGACATTTGTGTATTTTAAAGGCCTATTTTTTTCTTTCACCCTGGACCCAAAATATGTTTGAAACGGCTCTGGTAACATACCCACTAAGCTTAGTTGGGTGAGAGATTTTATTGAGCTTGTCTTCAATTTCTTCTAGAGTATACTCTTCTTATGTACCCGAGTCACGTGACATACTTGTTGAGTTTGTCAACCTCTCTTCTTCGGTTGTTGCAAGCTTCTTCATCACATTAGACATGGACTAGTGCTTGCTGATCATTATGAGAGGGGTTGAAGGGCAATAAAAATTATGAGCGATTTTAGACTTGATTGAAAGATATTTTTAAAGTGAAAGCTAAAGTGGAGTTTTTAGAATGAATCAGCTTTTGTGTGAAGAATGGTATGGTTTTCACATTTTTATATAGTATTAGAACGGTGTTATGTAAAAAGTTTAATTGTATTCATAAGGAGTTACGGTAGGGGTGTCATATAAAAGCCGGTTGTATTTCTAAAAAGTTGTAGTAGGTAGGTGTTAGGTTAGTAAAGATAGTTTGGACCATTTTACACCTTTGAATATCTATTGGAAGAAGTGTAACCACAGTTAAAAATAAAAATACTATCTAAATGTTGGAAATTATAAAGGAAATAGGTGGGTGTTTGTGTGCGTGGTGGGATATTTGGTGGGATTATGAGGTTTTTCTGAACCTTAACCATCAAAGGCTTTAGTGGGACTGTGGTAAACCCACATGCACACTTAGTCGAACCGCGGACGCTAAAGTACTCTTTTATATTCTCACTTCTCTCTCAACAAATTCAACAATATCCAATGTTCTTCCACATTTCCAAGTATTACCTTTACATTTATCGTTTTTCCCATAGTCATTGGAAAAACCGATAATTTGCATTAAATTATGTGGTTTTACGTTGAATCATACAACCATAACAGTGTTGTAAAAATCATTTCTGGTTGTTTCTTCTTTTAATTTGTCATGTAACATGACAATCTCATTTTACCTTATAATGATTACGATCGTGAAGGATCAAAATGCTTATGTAGACGAAATTTGGTAATTATATTAATAATAAACTAATTTGTTATTTGTGACTACTCAACATTTAATTCCCAATATTATTTGTCAGTTTGTTTGTTTTCTTTACAAAGATTAAATAATTAATCTTCATTATTAGTTATTATTTCATTTGTTTTCATATATTAACGCTTCGATAATTTGTTCACACTACTAATCGTTGGATTATTTGATCATCTGAAATACAACATTGAATTCAAAAGAATAGCTTCAATATCGAACGGTATTGTTGTATCGATTATACCTCACCAACGAGTGGCTTTTGGGAACATTTTGACTTAGTTCAAATGACTTATAGGTTGCAAAGAGCACATTCCAAAAATTGTGGTGGCTTATACACGACTCGTAGGAATTCTCTCTTTGCCCGTCAAGGCACTCGCTCATGCAAGACTATCGCCAACTGTTAGGTGCAATTTGTGCACCTTTTTGCACATCTTTTAGTCCCATTTCATGCATCTATTTAGCATAATTGTCCTTCATTTGTCTTGCATTTCATCATATTTCATGTTAGTCTCTAGAACAACCTTATTTGCACATTTTCATGTCTTTTTCAGGTAAACCGGAGGTTGGAACGCGCTTTGGGAAGTGTCGGGAAGCATTGGTGAAGATTTCGGGATGACCGGGCGAAGAACGAAAAAGTTGGAAAAATCAAGTTTGGATTCGGAGTCAGAGGGGTACACGGGCCATGTTGGATTTACACTAAAAAATCAACACGGGCCGTGTTGATCAAAATGGGAGCTATTGACCATGCTGAACACGGGCCGTGTCAGTTTTACTCTATGTCCAACACGGGCCGTGTTGACCAAAATGGGAGCTGTTGACCATGCTGAACACGGGCCGTGTCAGTTTTACTCTATGTCCAACACGGGCCGTGTTCGACCCAGAAACCAACTTTTGGCAGTTTTTCCTATCTTTCATATTACGGGTTAAGGGCCATTTTTAGAGAGACAGAACATATCAGAGTATATTTTGAGAAGGGAATTCGAAGGTTATTGCAAGGGATTGATCAATAATCATTTGGAAACATTAATTCTAGCATTTTGTAAGTTGTAATCACACATTTTTCCATCTTTTGTTCTTGTGATTTGTTCTTAGTCATGTGTGGCTAAGAAACCCTAGTTTCTAGTTCTTGTTCAAAACATGTTGATTGCTTGACTTGAAGCATATGATTGATGTTTGATTTGTGATTCTATTCTAGTGATTATGTTTTTGTTTAAACTAGAACCCTTAAATTTGATTTGTGTTTGATTGGCCACTTTCATGAATTGAATTTTTGTGCAGTTAATTAGCTTTTAGGGCACCTAATCGTTCTATTAAGTTAATAATTGGTAACAAGCAATAAGTTTTCTTATTGTAAAACATATATCACATGTTTTCACACTTCCGAACGTATGAGAACAAATGAACGTTGTTGGGAAGCTTGTATAAAACTTAATGCAGTTTTTCAATACAATCTAAGAGCGTGTTTAGATTGAATTAGTAAAGCTAGGTCTAGTCAAAGAGCGTGTTTTGGTTGGATAATTTGGCAAGCGAGAGGTGTTAGAGCGTGTTAATATCTTTCAGTACCAACTTAGAATAGCAATCTTGAATTACATCAAGTCATAATCAAGTTGAACAACAACATTGAGAACTAGAACTGGCAGCACTTTTACAACTTGTTTACAAATCTATTTCATTTTCTACGTGTTTCAAAGTTGATTGTTATTTTCATTATTTGACCTTTGCAAACAAACCCCCCTTTGTGACCAAAGTACCTTACGCAAAGAGGTATAGACTTTTATCCTGTGTCTCTGTGGTTCGACCCTGCTTTCCCTGTACTACCTTTTTAGTGCATTAAAGCAGTGTATTTGGAGTCTGTTGTACCCCTATTATTTGTTGGGTTTGACACCCCTAACAAATTGGCGCCGTTGCCGGGGACACGGTGTTACTAATTGTTTTATGCCAAGATCTTTCCGTACAGGTACACCATTGCCAATTGACTCGGAGATAGAGAAGACTGCAAAGAGGTTACGGAAGCAAGCCAAGCTTCGTAAGAAGCAACCGGGCTCCGGGACTTCTTCATCATCTAACCCTCCAGTCATCAACATTTGGGAGGACATACCCCTCTCAAGTGTATCTGCATCCGAAACAGAAAGTCTCTCACTCTCACCACAACCATCCTCACCCAAAAATATCACTCCACCATCTTCACCCACTTATAACATCCCAAACACTACACCCACAGAAACTTCAACAACTACTCGCACAATGGGAGATAACCATGGAGGAAATCCACCTCCAAACCCACCACCCGAACAAACCCTTCGTCAATGGTCGAGACAAGAGGTTACACAACAACCTCTTTGCATCAACTATCCGGCAGCCACAAACCTTGAACTAAAATCTGGACTTATCCACCTCCTCCCAACCTTTAGAGGCTTAGAAAACAAGGATCCCCACAAGTTTCTCACAGAGTTCCACATTGTGTGTGTTGGCATGAAACCACACAATGTCACGGAGGACCAAATCAAGCTTAGGGCATTCCCCTTTGCGGTGCAAGATGCAGCAAAAGATTGGCTCTATGACCTCCCACCGGGGACGGTTACTACTTGGGTAGATCTTGCACGACTCTTTTTGGACAAATACTTCCCAGAGATGAAAGCTTCAGCCCTACGGAGCGAAATCATTGGAATCAAGCAACACAAGAGAGAAGCTTTTCACACATATTAGGAAAGGTTCAAGAAACATTGTGCCCGACGCCCAAAGCATGGAATCACCGAATACCAGCTCCTCCAGTATTTCATTGAATGCATGACTCCAATGGAAAGAAGGCTTCTTAATGCCTCCAGTGGCGGATCTTTACCCGACAAGACTCCCACTGAAATCCGCAACTTGATCAAAAATATGGCTGAAGATTCTAAACATT